AGGCAGGGCGGCAGGGTGCTCTGGGGATCGGTCGGTGCTTTCCTTGGCGCGCGAGCGACAACGACCGCAGACACCACCGTCCCGCCAGACCCGCCGACGGCCCGGCGCCAGGCAGAGGGCCCACCCGGCCCACCACTTTCGGCAACACGGGCACAGCGGAGCAGCAGCAAAGGACACGCAGGGAGGAGGAGGAGGATGATGATGAGGAGGAGGAGGAGGAGGAGGAGGAGGAGGAGGAGGAACAAAATACGGACGAGGAGGAGGGGGCACGCAACCGCAACAGCTGGGCAGGGGGGAACCGGCACGAGCGGGGGGGAAACCCAAAACAACATCGACATCAAACGGACTGCCACGCTCCCTCCCCTCTCTCAGGGCCTCGTGCTGCAGCAGGAGACCGCTGCGGGCAGCAACGCAAACGGGAAGGCGCCCCGCACTTCCACGGGACCCCCTCGCGCGAACGCTGGGGGGGGGCAGCGTGGAGAAGCACCGCGCTGGCGGCTCGGGTGCCAGTCCGTCCGAAGGCGCCTCCCTCGCGGCAGCGCCCCCTCCAGCACGTGGCGACGAAGGCTCGGCTGCAGCGCCAACGAGGCGGCAGCGGGGCTGACGGCGCGGTGGGCCCAGCGCGTCGGAGAGCAGGCGGGGCGGCACAGCGGCGGCTGGGGGGGGGGCGGCAGGGGCGAGACGGGGAGAGAAGCAGCTCCGTCATAGACTCCACGAGGGGGCCCCTGGCTCAGTACACCGAGGGCACTGTGATGCAGTGGAAACTCACAGGCGTCGCAACGGGGGGGGCGGGGCTGTCCGTGGCGGGGGTCCACCGATTCCCTGCAGCCCAGGGTCCGCGCCGAGGCACTGATGCAGAGACCTGCCCAGAGGCAAGAAGGCAATGGCAAGCCAGGGCGAGGGTCAGGCCGAGGGGGCATCGACCGAAGGGCAGGGGGCGCCGCCACGGCACGCCTTCAACAGGATGAAACAAACGCGAACGGAGAAGCTCTTGCCACTGGCAATGTCAACGCTACCGTACAGGGTGAGCCTAAGGCCGCGGGCGCAACCTCCATGGCAAGAGATAAAGCCGGCAAGAGAGACCCAACCAGCAAGATAGAGCGGGAGGCCATGCAAGAAGATAGGCGAGGAACGCGGGGAACCCACACAGGGCGCGGGAGGACAGACCAGCAGTTTAGGGGCATTCGAACTCAACCCCTCGGTCGAGAGCTACGAAACACAGTGGCAATATTTTGGCACCTTCTAGCAATCAGCCTCCGACGGGCATGAAAGACATGGGAAGGAACTAGGGCGATGCCAAGACGGTGGTGGGCGTGCGTCTTCAGGAAGGCGTCCATACAAGCAGCGGCAACACTGCCTCGATCACTGCCCCATTCTGGCTCCAGGAGAGCCAGCAGGCTGAACCAGGAGTCCCTTCCCTCAAGCAAATCCTTCCAAGCTCCTGGCAGGTTAGGGTCACCCGAACAGTGCTTATAGTGAAGCGTGCCACCAGGGCGCCCCCCCCCCCCCACACACACAGAAAACAACATCCTGTCCTCACAGTGGAAGCGGGCAGAAGCGCATCCACCCCTGAACAGGGTCAGTAATTCCAGGGGCGACAAGGAGGGGGAGGAGGGGAGGAGGAGGGGGGAGGAGGATGAGGAAAAGGAGGAGGAGGAGGAGGAGGAGGAGGAGGAGGGGAACAAAAGGTGATGAGGAGGAGAGGAGAGAGGAGGAGAGATGAGAGGAGGAGGGGAGGAGGGAGGAGGAGGAGGAGGAGGAGGAGGAGAGGGGGTGAGGAGGAGGGGGAGGAGGAGGAGGGAGGAGGAGGCGGAACAGGCCGAGGAGGCGGAGGAGCAGGAGGAGCAGCACCAGCAGCGGGAGGAGGAGCCGCGCACCCCGCCCGCCGCAGCCCCCGAGCCCCGAGAGACGGCGCGGCGGCCCTCAACTGGCCGCCCCGCCCGCTCCTGGCGGCTGGCCCGCCCCTGCCCGCCCGCGCCTCTCGCCGAGCGTGGCGCCCACGACGCGCGCGGAGGGGTGCGCCTCCAGCCACTGGGCTGCCACTCGCCGGCCCAGCAGGCCTCGGCGGCGCGGGGGCCCGATGGCATCGACGGCGACTCCTCGATCCTCCTCCTCGGTTCCTCGGCCCTCCTCGGTCCCTCGATCCTGAGAAGGCCTGCCCTCTCCTCCTCGATTCCTCGATCCTCAAGATTCGGGGGCGCCGGCGCCGACGCCGGCGCCGGCGCCGACGACGGCGATCGGCCCGGAGTCTCGCCCTCGGAGATTCCTATATACTAAGCCCGTCAATCTCACATGACGCGAGGGTGCTGCGACGACCGTGGCCAAGGCGGTGGTCGGCAACCCCGCTTTCGGCAGCGCGCCAAGGGGGGCAGGCAGCGTGGGCGGGCCCTCCCAGGAGCTTGAGCAGGCCTCGGGCCGTCTGAGCGGGCTCTCAGAGCCCCCTCCGAAGCCGCAGAGGGGGAGGCCCCGCCGCCCTCTCCTCCTCGAATCCTCCATCCTCCTCCTCGATTCCTCGATCCTCCTCGGTTCCTCCCATCCTGAGAAGGCCTGCCCTCTCCTCCTCGATTCCTCGATCCTCAAGATTAGGTGGCGCCGGCGCCGACGCCGCCGCCGCTGACGACGGACGACGGACGACGGACGACGGACGACGGACGACGGACGACGGACGACGGACGACGGACGACGGACGACGGACGACGACGACGACGACGACGACGACGACGACGACGACGACGACGACGAACGACGACGACGACGACGACGACGACGACGACGACGACGACGACGACGACGACGACGACGACGACGACGACGACGACGACGACGACGACGACGACGACGGCCCCCTCAGTCGAAACCACGGCGGCTCTCCCGCCCACCCCAAACCTGGTCAAAATCGGCCCCTTGACTCCTCCAGGGGCTCCTCCAGGCCAGAATTTCGAGGCGGATCCAGCCGCGGCGACGAAGAGCCCCCGGGAGGCCGAACAAGCGGGCTGGAGACGCTGGGGAGAGCCTCGTCGTCCCCTCTCGGCGGCGAGCGAGATGGAGAAGTGAGGAGAAGGCCTCCTCAGAAGGCGGCGGGGCTTCTCAGAAGCCCTCGCGCCTTCTGAAATATTTTCGGTGTCTTCGTGGAAGGAGGCCGAGGGGGCTTCCGAACCTTCTAGGGAGGCCTTCTCCTTCTCACTCCCCCCGTCACTCGCCGCCGACCCTCTCCACTCCCCTTGCACTGGCTGACCGTCGGCGCAGACACCAGCCAATCAGAGTGCTGCTCTTGAAGCAGCATGCCCGAGGACAAGCACGAACGGAGCAGCACGCCGGTGGGCTCCCAGCGGCAACGTGTCGGTGCTCCTCTTTTTTTCCCTCCCGAGCCAGCGACACATCGCCGATAGATCGGCGATGTGCCCCTCTTCCTCCTCCTCCTCCTCCTTCTCCCCCTCCCTCTTGTCCTCCTCCTCCTCGTCGTCCTCCTCCTCCTCCTCCTCCTCCTGCTCCTCCTCCTCCTCCTCCTCCTCTCTCCTCTCCTCCTCCTCCCACCTCCTCTTCTCCTCCTCCTCGTCTCGTCCTCGTCCCCTCGTCTTCCTCCTCCCTCCTCTCCTCCTCCTCCTCCCTCCTCCTCCTCCTCCCTCCTCCTCCTCCCTCCTCTCGTCCATCCTTCCTCCTCCTCCTCTTCTCTCCTCCTCCTCCTCCTCCCCTCCTCCTCCTCCTCCCTCCTCCTCCTCCCTCCTCCCCCTCCTCCTCCCCCTCCTCCTCCTCCTCCTCCTCTCCTCTTCTCCTCTTCTTCTCGTCTTCTTCCCTCTACTCCTCTTCTTTCTTACTCCTCCTCCTCCTCCTCCTCCTCTTCTCCTCTTCTCCTCGTATTCTTCTCCTCTACTCCTCTTCTCTTCTCCTCCTCCTCCTCCTCCTCCTTCCTCCTCCTCACTCCTACTCCTCCTCCCTCCTCCCTCTTCTTCTTCTCCTCCTCCTCCTCCTCCTCCTCCTCCTCCTCCTCCTCCTCCTCTTCCTCCTCGACGGGCCCACTGCCTGGCGCGGGTGACGCCGCAGGCCGAGGGCCAGTTGTTCCGCGAGCTGCCCGTGCTGGCCTGCTTGTCTTGCGGCGCTACTGGGGCGTGCCGCGCGAGTTCGTTCAGCCGCGAGTGCTCGGCACCGTCCTCCAAGGGGAAGGGCGTGCTGAACAAGCTCGCCGTGGGGATGGCGCCGTTCGGGGAGAACGTCGCCGTGAAGGTGCGGATGCTGTGAATGCATCTTCCGAGGCGTTCGAGTTCGGGAACTCGCCGAACGCCTCCCTCAGGCGCCGCTGGGCTGTGGTGCCCGCGGAGCTTCGGCGCGCGGCCGCGGCCGCGCGGCTCGGCGGAGCGAACCTTCGCCGTCGGCCTCGCAAGATACCTCCCTCCTCCTCCTTACCTCCCCTCCCTCTCCCCCTTCTCCTCCTCCTCCTCCTCCTCCTCCTCCTCCTCCTCCTCCTCCTCCTCCTCCTCTTTCTCCTCATAGCGAATACGTGCGTTCCTTGGCGGGATGGGCTACCGGGTCCCGCTTGGCGATGAGTGGGACATCGGGCGTCGACGCGTTGTGCCCTGAGCAACAGGCAGAGGGGGCAGGCCTTCTCAGAAGCATCGGAAGACTTCCAGCCCTTCTCTGAAGCCAAAGAGTGCGTCTCAGAAGGCTTGAGGGCTTCTGCGAAGCCCCGCCGCCTTCTGAGCTGGCCCGCCGCCTCTCTCTTCCTCCTTCCGCGTGCCGCCGAGTTTGGCTTTCGGGTCATGACTCGGGGTCTCCGCTGGTCGTGCGGAACGATCCGGGCCCCTCCTAAACGCTCTCGGCGAGGCGCAGCTGCTGGAGAGCACCCCGAGGCTGAAAAACCATCAGGAACCGACGATCGAGGAAACGTCAAACGTTGCCCCTCGGCGCGTCGCCCACCTGACACCGCACAGATCAGAGGGCCGAGGCCGGGACCGGCGCCGATGATGAGCAGGTCGTCCGGTCCCGCCTCGCCTATGGCCGCGCCTGGAGCAGCACGCGGGCGGATTTGGCAGGCTCCTCTCGTGCTCCACCGCCGTCGTCGCGGCGGCTGCTGCTGGTGGTCGTCGTCGTCGTCGTCCTTGACACTGACGTCAGAAGGAGGGGGAGGAGGGGGGGATAAGGGGGAGGGGGAGGAGGAGGAGGAGGAGGAGGAGGAGGAGGAGGAGGAGGAGGAGGAGGTGGAGGAAAAAGGACAGGGGCATCATGTTCACCTGCGTCTGCTGGCGCAAGTACGAGCCGCGTGCCGCCGCGCCGCTCCTTCTGCCGCCGTCGCTGTCATCCGTTCTCTCTCCCTGTTCTCTGCTTGGGCTTCGTCATCTCTCTGCCCGATGACCGACCGACCGACCGAGGATAGACAAGCGAGTTTCACTACTCGCCAAGTAACTACTCGCAAATGGCCTGGATCCGCTGCCGGGGATTTGCGATCCGTTACAGAGGAGAAGACATGTGATTTTGTTCGGACGCTTGCGAGTAAGCACTTTGCGAGTAGTGGAACGCGCTCGGTGAGAGGAGGAGTGACGAGCCTCGCGCGAGGGGGCGGACAGTCCGAGAGCAGGGGACGAGACGAGACCGGTCCAAAAGATACGAGAAATCCGCTGCCCCTCGAGGAGGCGACCCCGACGCACACGGATCAGAGAACAGGCACCCGCCTTGTGGCAGCACACGAAGCGTGCCCACCGGCGGAGCAAGCGAATGACCGACCGACCGAGGAGGAGGAGCAGGAGGAGAAGGAGGAGGAGGAGGAGGAGGAGGAGGAAAGCCATTTGGCCTCTTGGGGCCAGCCGATCCCGATCGATCCATCGGGGTCGGTCGGCGCCTGCCGCCCGATCGATCGCGGTGGCAGGGCGCATCGCGCATCGGCCAGCCCCCGAGGCCGGGCTCACGCGCGCCGCGCGCCATACCCTGCGGCAGGGGGCCACCCGTGCCTCCCTGTCCCCTGCCGCAGGCCGCGGCGCTCGCGGCCGCGCTGCGGCCAAGCGGCGGGACGCCGCGTCATCATCGAGGAGGAGCTCCAGAGGGCGCTGCCCACCGCCGCGAGCGGCAGCAGAGAGCCCAGGACAGGCTCCTGCTCCGCCTGCGGGCAGCGGCCGAGCGCCTGGCCGCCCACCACTCCGCCCAGCCAGCGATGGCTCGTGATGGTAAGGGCAGAGGCGGTGGTGGCCGTAGCGGCAAAGGCCAGGCCCAAGAGGAAGAAGCACCGCCAGCAGCGCCCCCATGGCGTCAGGAGAGGTGGCACGGCGCTGGCTGGCGAGAACAGCACTGGCACGCCGAGCCAGCTGCTGAGGAACCGCCCTGGCGCAGGGAGCCGTCGCGGCCACGACGCTCTGGCCAGGCCAGCCCTCGCCAATGGCCACAGCAGCAACACCAGCAGCCCAGTCAGCATCCCTGGCAGCAGCAGCACCAGCCCAGGGCGGGCAAGGGTGGCCAGGCCAGCTCCAGCAAAGCGGACCAGCGTGCTCAAAAGGTCATCGACTCAGTGGCGGCATGCACGCTGGACCAGGCCACCACCCACCCAAAGTGGCAGGCGCCCCCGGCCGACCGCGCAGGCATCCAGAAGTTCTTGAGCACCGCCGATCAGAGGCTGAGGAAGCTGGGCGACCTGATCATTGCCAAGCAGGCCGCGGGGGACAGCACTGAAGAGCAGTTACGGGAGATCGCGGTCATCAAGTATCAGAAGCTGGTCACGAGAAGGCCGAACGACCAGCTGCAGGTGCTCAGCAAGAGGCGCAAGGCCGTCAAACTCGAAGTCATCGCCCTAGAAGCCAAGTCGAACGAGCTGCGGGACGACCTCAAGGCCAAGCAGCAGGAGTTGAGGCAGCTCGAGTCCAACATCGCCGACGTGAGGGCTGTGCTCGCCGACGGCGGCGCGGCGGACGACGAGGGCGACTGGGACACGGACGGGTTCGGCTTGGCACCGAGCTGGGATGCTTTCCACAAGGCTGTGATTGACAGGCGCCTGAACAGCGAAGCACCTGGTGATGGACTCCCAGCTTGGCCATCAGGAGTGGTAGGGCAACCGCCACGATCAAGAGCCAGCTCGGCAGGCAGCGCAACCAGAGGCTTCGCAGATCAGGTGGCCAAGGCAAATGCGGAGCGGGCCCACCAGCAGCAGCGCCATGCCGAAGCCGAGCAAGAGTTCGCTGCCGAACTGGCGGAAGTAAGGAGGGTTGCTCGCGAACAAGCACTCCGCCACAATGGCGAGCAGGCGAAACTGAGGCTGGCACTCAAGGAGGAGTCAGAGCAGCTGCAGCGCATCACCGCAGCGGAGAGCGCAGCCCAGCAGCAGCAACAGCAGCAACACAAGGCCCTCCGACATGAGATCAAGAGGCAACAATACGAGCAGCTCGAGTTCGCGACGCAGATGGAGGCCAGAATAATCAGCCATGACACAGCCTTCACTCATGCCAAGGCAGAGGCGGAAGCCGCGACACACCGGGCAAATCACCTGCATGAGCAGCTCGAGCAAGTACGAGCGGAGCACCGGGAGAAGCCGCAACCCCAGGACGGCGCCTACCAAGACCTGATGAGGGCAAGAGCCGAGGCACAAGAGTTACTGCGACGGGCCCAGCATGAGAGCGCCCAAGCGACAGCTGCAGCGGGTAATCTCAAGCAGCAGCTCGCCAGGCAGGAGCTGGTCATGGAAGAGAAGTTCCAGGAGGCCAGAAAGAACCACGCCCTCGAGATAGAAGCTGCCGCCGAATCAGCCAGGGTCCAGGCAATCGCCCAGGCTCAAGTGGTTGCCAACGCCAAGGGAAAAGGGGCCCTCCCGCCGGCAGAGGCGGCCAGGCTGCAAGGGATCGTCCAGACAGCAGCACGGCAGCAGGAGCGGCTCAAGCAGACCAAAAACGAGCTCGAGGCAGCTGAAGCCCGCATACACGAGCTACAGCAGTACTCCAAGCTTGAGGCGGGCGCTGCGCAGCGGGCAGCACAGGTGGCATACCATGAAGCAGCGGAGCTGAGAAGCGCCAACAAGGAGCGGCAAGTCCCGCATGAGGTGCAGGCTTTGCAGTTCGCCCTGCTAAGGACCAGAGCAGAGGAGGAGGAGATCGCGAAGGCCAGCCTGAAGGAAAAGGAGGCAATGCGGGCAGAGCTCGAAGGCAGTGTTGAGGGAATAAGGGCGAGTCTCACCCGCCAAGTCATGATAGAAGAGGCGAACGCACGCGACTTGCAGCTGCACACAGAGAGCCTGCGACAGGAACTGAGCAGCTACGCGGTGCAGCTGAGCGAGCAAAAGTCCAACGCAGAGGTGCAGGAGCAGGCGCTCGAGGAGGAACTCGCCCAGGCCCTCACCTTCAGGATCGCCAGCATGGAGGAGGCCTCCGCCATGGAAGACTTCGCCAGCCAGCAGAGGGCGGGCAGGGAGGAGGCTATCCACCTTGCGCTGCAAGAAAGCCTCCAGCGCTCCAGCACGCTGCGCACCGAGCTAGACGCCATCGCAAAGAAGGAGCAGCAGGGCGCGTCGGAGACAGAGGAACTAAAGCTGAGGATGCAGAGCCTGGAAGCCATCGCAGCCAGCAGGGAACGCGAACGCAAGGCCATGGTCAACCTGTACGCCGAGATGAGGCAATACGGACAGGAGGGCTACGACTTCACCAAGAGGGCAGCTCATCATCTCGTCCAAGGGGGCCACCTCCCAACGTCCCAAGAGTCCATGGACGACTACCAGGAGGCCGCCGACCTGTGCGAGGAAGCCAGAGGAGCAGCCGAGGCAGCGGCCGCTACAGTCGAGCCCCCCGTTGCGACCTTCCAAATTGGCGCAGCTGAAGAGCGCCCAGCCAACAGGGGCCGCAGGCAGAGCAGCCCCTCCCCTCGGAGGCCCGCATCAAATAGGTCAGCCAGGTCAGCAACCCGCCAGACCGACGAAGGCGAGGCCCTCCTCACAGAGCGTGACAGGTCCAGGAGCCCCGACAGGCCATACCCGCACGAGGAGGCAGAAAGATACGAGCGCGAACAAGATGAGTTGCACAGACAAGCTGCTGAGGAGAAAGCACAATGGGAAGCCGTACAGATGGAGGAGGAGCTGGAGTCCGTAGTGAGGGACCACGAGGCGAAGGAGATCCAAAGGCGCTACTACGAGGAGGCCCCCCTGACCCAGTTCGGCACAGCGGGCGCGCAGGACTCACGAGCGGAGGACGACGGCTCGGAGCACGCGCCGATGATCTACCCCGCCAGGTGGCCGCCATGGAGCCAGGATCACCCCACACCCGATGAGGGCGACGAGATGAGGGGGATCACGCAGCACGAGGCAGACACAGACCTGGCATCCACGTCAAGGGCTAGCTCGATACCAGCAGAGCAAGGAGACCCTCCCACCCCGACAGCATCCCAGGTAATCCTCATTCCAGCATCGCCAGCGCCACTCAGCGAGATGTCACTCACGCCCACAGTTCCATTCGGGCATGAGGAGCAGCGCGGCCACGGTGGTGGAGAGGGAGCCGGCAGCTTCGTATTGACCCCTCCCCCTGCGTCCCAGCAGAACGCGGAGGCGGCAGGGGCCAGCATCGAGAGGCAGTATGAGGGCCTCGGCATCATGACACGCCAGCACACCTCAGCCGCCGCCGCAGCTGCAGCCCTCGAAGAGGCGTTCGGTCCAGTGCCCGCATTTCCAGGAGAAGACATCAGCCAGGCCCACAAGGGTCAGCGGGTAGACTCTGGAGAGTCAGGCATAGCCCGTTTTCGTGGCCGAGTGGCCCGCAGGAAGGACGAGACAAGGGGCACAGCAACCCCCTCCCCTCCTGCAACTCCTGGAGCCGAGGTGCAGGCAGCAGCAGCGCCCGCCGAATCCCCCCGAGGGGGGGGGGGGGCCTAGCAGCGCCGCCAGGCTTCAGGTTATGCATGACAGAATTCATCGCCAGGAGGCGGCCGATGAGTCCAACAGGGCAGAGCACGACGGATGTGGGACTTCGTCACGCTCTCCGATCAGTTCGACAGCATCGATCTCCTGGGCAGCACCGGGGAGAGCAGCTGGGGCCCAAAGCCCGCAGCACGGCAGTGGGGTCCTCCACTACGATGCTCGACCTACCCACCACCAGAGGCTTGACAGCACGGCGGGCCCTGGAGGTAATTGCGACAGCCGTCTTGTAACAAATGGACCAGCGGAGATTCCGACAATCTCGCGCACCAGATCAGGTACTCCCAGGAGTCCAGGGTCTCGAGGGGCCACGACTCCAAACAGAGGTGATACCGCAACGGGCATCGGCAGTGGGGTTGCCACTCCCAATCGCAGCAGCCAGCATCAGCAGCGGTATAAGTCACCTGGGTCTCGAGGGGCCTATGTGACACCACCACGGCCGACACGAGGGCCGCCCGCCGCGTCTCGAGGGGCGCTAGGCGGCAACCAAGGCGGCCCACTACCAGGGAGGAGTGAGGCATCCGCCAATCTGTCAGCACTCCAGGTCACAAGCCACCAAGATGGCTGCAAGGATGCGTTACCGGCTGCCCTTGCAATCAGTGTGCAACCCTCCGCCATTCGAGTTCATGAGATCGAGAACGTGGAAAGGACCTTTCTCGACGGTCAAAACTCGGCTGGCAGCGAGGCAGAGGATGGCATGGAGCAGTGCTACGAGAACTGGAGGCAAGCGTGCGCAGTTGCAGCCTTCCGAACAGCCCAGCGGAGTGCACGCCGCGCACGGCGTGCTGCGGAGAGCCACAGTCGTCGGGACAACAGCAGCAGCCACAACAGATACCACGACCTGGCGGTGGATCCACACCCGTCGGGCTCAGCAGCTCAACCAGCAGCACCTGTGCCCCCAGTCCCGACGGGCCCAAGCAGCTCACCGCTGTCCAGCAGTTGGAAGCCGACGCTCCCCTCGGCATCAGCGCGCTCCCACCACGGCACGGGTGCTACCAGTCACCCAGACGCCCTGGATGGCGAACCTCATCGTCTACGTGACAGCATGCTCCACGCCCAATCACGCGAGCCCCTGTTCAGTCAGGCCGCGCGGGCTGGATCGGACAACTTGAACTACGATGAGGGGAGCCAAATGCCATCACAACAACCCGTGAAGCGGAGTGCGTCTCAGGCTGGAGCCATATCACCAGCATCCCCAACGCGTTCTCCGACGCCACGGCCACCTCCAGCACACATCACCACTACACCAAGTCCAGTTCCACAGGGCATGGGGCCGGCGCCAGACCACGGCATCGAGTACTCTCCCGAGTATATCAATGCAGAGAGGGCCAGGCGTGGCCGAAGGCGACCGCAGATCCCCACCACGACAGCACGAGAAAGAGGCCAAGCGACAGTGCTGCCAGTTCTCAGCCAGGAACCAGTAGCCGAGACACTTCGTGGCCGAGGCCGAGTCAACGTCTGCGACGACGTCGACACTACGACCCTGCACAGCATGCCAAGGTTGGCGTTGGAGATGTGCCCATCACGAGAGC